GATGAGAAGCTGGATATGAGTCAACAGTGTGCCCTTGTAGCCAAGAAGGCTAATGGTGTATTAGGTTGCATTAAGAGGAGCATTGCCAGCAGATCCAGAGATGTCATTATTCCCCTGTATTCGGCTTTGGTGAGGCCACATCTGGAGTATTGTGTCCAGTTCTGGGCCCCCCACTACAAAAAGGATGTGGACGCATTGGAGAGGGTCCAGCGGAGGGCAACCAAAATGATTAGGGGGCTGGAGCATATGACTTATGAGGAGAGGCTGAGGGACTTGGGTCTGTTTAGTCTGCAGAAGCGAAGAGTGAGGGGGGATTTGATAGCAGCCTTCAACTTCTTGAAGGGAGGTTCCAAAGAGGATGAAGAGAGGCTATTCTCAGTAGTGACAGATGGCAGAACAAGGAGCAATGGTCTCAAGTTGTGGTGGGAGAGGTCTAGGTTGGATATTAGGAAAAAGTATTTCACTAGGAGGGTGGTGAAGCACTGGAATGGGTTACCTAGGGAAGTAGTGGAGTCTCCATTCCTAGAGGTGTTTAAGTCTCGACTTGACAAAACCCTGGCTGGGTTGATTTAGTTGGAATTGGTCCTGCCTAGAGCAGGGGGCTGGACTTGATGACCTTCTGAGGTCTCTTCCAGTTCTATGGTTCTATGATTCCCATTTGGATTCTGAAGAGGATTCTTCACCTGGAGACCATGGCAATGCAGTACATGCTGCAGCCCCAGGGCAGTGCTAAGAAACTAAGGACTGGTGGCAGGACAGTGATCAATGTGTTGGTACTGAGAATGAACTTGCCTGACCTTGTTCCCTTATTTCCCTGGTGGCCTTGGCTACTTGGAGATCCTTAGGTCAGGAGGTAAAGCAGGTCCTTCACTACCTGAAAGACATCCAAGGATCAAAGGGGTCAGCAAATGCCTGGCCCCATAGCTGCTCCCATTAGTTGGTGGCAGGTCCCATACTGGACTCAGCACTCTGGATAGAGTCTGTGATGCCTTTAGTGGCTTGGGGAAGTTGAGCAGCCCACTGTGTGTCTCAATATGCCAGTCCCTCTACACTTGTCTCTCTGTGGCAACCTCTCTTAAGTTCACTGTTTCTTTTTTTTTCCCTTGGCACCAGGGATGGAGAACAGTACCAAGAGGAACATGGTGCTGAGGGAGCACTCCACATTGGTGTCAAAATATTGTGCTCTAATTCAGAACAGTTCAGCTCCTAAATTGGTGCGGGGTTGGTGCAGTCCTTGATACTGGCACATACATACACACACAACTTCTGAGAGCTATAGAGCCAGCCTTATGGATACCATTCAAGGGAAAATCTCTGGCAACTGTGAGCACGGCACACACACATATCTAGCATAGAATGGACACGAGCAAGCATTTGAAAAAGAACGTGTTTAACTCATTCATTTTTGGGGAAGATGAGACCTCATTTGAAGCAGAATACCCCAATCCTTTAGCAATAAATTACAAAAAAATCTCCAGAGATTAATAAGGAAGTCTGAAAAAAGGAATGAAAGTGGAGCGGAGAAAGTGCCCTATAAGTGATGGGGAACTGGCGCCTGAACCATGGTCCTGTCCCTGCATCGCTTCTTTTCCCCAAGACCCCACCCTTGTGCTGTCTATTCCACCCAAAGTTCCCCCATTGCACTGACCCTTTTTCTTGACCCCCCCCCCACCCGTATAGCTCCCTTTCCCCCAAGACACAGATCCTGCACTGACCCTTCCCCACAAGACCCCGCCAATTGCTCCTCTATACCCTTCCATGTTGCCCATGCTTACAACCCATAAAAAGTGTGGTAGGGGAGCCATGGCCCCGTAGTACGCAATAGAAGGCAGGTGGCTGGGCTGGGACATAGCTGAGCCATTGCTTAGCTGGACATTTTAAATACACAGGTGCTTGTAATATAAAATTGGAGAGAACTCTTAGAGTCAGGGCATTTCTACACTCTCCTGACCAGAGGATCTGAGCCCACTTTGTGCTATTGTCCATGGGTCCTCTTGAGGAGGTCTAAAGATGGTGTGCCCCATACTGAGGAATTTACTGCTTTCTTTGCAGATAAGCAAGAAGGGACACAGTAGAGAGAATTTCTGAAAGGAGAGAGATTTTTTTGCCTATTTTTTTTTGTACCATGACTCCTAGGAGATGAGCTGCCCATTGGCCATACAGGGGAGCCAAGACACAGCAAAATAAATTAGAGAAGCAAACCTTTACTGTGAACCTCAGCCACACACACAAAATTCATTGTGATTCACGATATACAGTCACCAAAATACATATTTTCCAAATGTGTTGCAAAATAGTTTAAAAATTAAACATGACATTCTGTACCTATAGTACACATAAAAAAAAACTGTTGTGGGTGGGGGGATATGACTAAGAGGCATTTAAAATTCACCTGGTTATAGTAACAGAAAGAAGAGCATAGAGACAGCTCTATGAAGTCATAATGCCCCCTAATTCAGTGACTGTGGCATAATAAAGATAGATGCTAGAAACATTAACATAACACTCTTTACTGAATGGCAGGGGCAGAGCAGTAGGAATTTACTATTATTGTTTTCCTTAGAATAAGTCTATTCAAATCAACTGAGCATCAAAACTGCACGGCAGGATCAAATTAATTTAGCTTTGATATTCACTGATGCATTTTATTATATTCTGGCTCAAGTTTCAACTTGAGGACTTAATTTGGTTACACATTAAACTATTATTTAAAAATTAGGTGATAATAATATACGTATTGTAGTGAAAAGTTATTACATTTCTTCATGAACAATGTAGTTGCTTAACCTAAAGCATAAATTAGTTTCAATAATTTTGAGCTTTAACTTATTAATTTGCTAAATCTTAAATACTGGGGAAACAGGTGATTCAAAATTAGAGTATGAGTGCAGATAGGAAAAGACGCTGAAGTAGTGACAACCACATTTGAACAGTAAACAATTCTGGAGGTATAAATTAACTAGAGCAATCATACTTTGTAAATGGCAGAAAAAACACACTGTGAGGCAAGAGGAACTAAAATCTCTGACAGAACTGTTTGAATTAACTGTAAATGTAAAATCATCAACATAAACATAATTAAAAATGACAAAATAGTGTTAGAGGGGTGAATGTTGTAAAAGAAGAATATTGAGTATGTATTTCCAACACAAATTCTAATTAACAAGGTAAGGGAAAGACAAGGTTATTACACAAAAAAAACCCTGGCAAACATAAGAAATAAGTGAGGTCATAAGGCAACAAAGGAGGAGAATACGATTAATAAAGCCTAGAAAGAGAATGGAAAATTAAAGAGGACACTTACTGGAGAAAACCACATCACTTTAAGAATCCAAATTGTCAAAGCAAAATTCACAACTAGGACAATAAGCAGAAGAAGGACAAACAGGTAGAGGCATCGTTTTCTCCAGCCGTAAATGCCAATTTTGTAGACATATTGGTTCTCCGGCCTCTCTAGTCTGGTGCCTTGTGTTGTTGTGGTGTATTGTTCACGTACCATCTGCTAGAAAGGAGGGTGGGGAAGTTAGAGTTTTGTTAACTATGTAAATTAATTCCTTTAAAAAAAATCCTGTAAGAGAAAAACAAAATCAAATGTCTACTACTTTAACTGATTTTGTTAACAGACTCACATTTACTGTATAATAACAGAGAATATCAACATTGTTGTCTCCTTTTTTACAATATGTCAACAAAAAATCTCACCTGAAATTATGACACTATTTATGTCATAATCTGAAACTCACTTAGCAGTAAGTGCACTATATAATAATATTGTAAACTATGCTGACGACCCTGTCAAGATAAAACATACATTTTAGGATTTTTTTTAATTCCATGAGGTACTCTTTTCTGTTTTAAATATCAGTTCCATCACAACATATACTCCAATAATTGATATATACTGGAACTATTACAATTAGCCTGTTACAGAATTAAACTGTGCATCCCTGGAATGCCAAAGTATATTAGGTTTCATTACCTGTACATGAAGAAGGAAAAGAGGTTTTAAAATTGCAAAAGTAAAATATGCTTGCTCAACCCCTTATCAGAATAAACATTTAAAGATGTACTACTAATAGAAACATTAAACTAATACCCAGGGCTAAACATCTTCAGTCACACGGCATTATAGTTTTCAAAGAAGCACTTACTAAATCATAAAGGCAATTAGCTACTTACCATCCTACTATCCCTTAAAACATGAAGACTGTCACTAGTTCGCACTTTGAAAATATGGAAATTTTACATTTGAACCAAGAGAATAAAAACCTTAACAGCTGAAGCTGTTTATTGAAGACCAACACTGAGTAACATCTGTCTCAGCAGGGCTGATATAAACAAGGGGAACCCCCAAAATCCTAATGTCGGGAAGTAAACAGATTTTGTAAATTCAAGTATTTTCCATAAACAAGGTAAAGTCTCTGTGCTCTTACTTAAGAAAATATGTCCTTTCCCCTACAGTATTATGTTCCTAAATGAGCATTCCTTCAGGTAGGATTCATATGATTTTTTGTATCAATTTTGCATTTACTCCTGGGAATTAGATCACTATGCTCAGCACAAAGAATTTTAAAAATGTGATTAAATTACATCCTTGCCCAGCTGCTGAATTACTTTAACTCCTTAGGGAAGTTCTTTCCAAACCTGCAGAACCATGCTGTGTCTGTAACAAGTAAGTGGTTCACAGTTCTGATCCCCAGCTTTAGGAATATCTGTCTTTTGTGATATATATAGCTTTCTAATAAACCATGTGTCAAAGAAAATAGAATAGGTTTACAGTTAAATAGACATTTATATATCTCCTCTTAGTTAAAAAACCTGTAATTTACAAAACATTTCAAAGATTATGTTTATTCCATACTCAAATAAACACGCGTGTAACAACCTTTGTGTTTGGTCATTCACAATACTTTCTTGCTACAGCAGTGATTTGTTTGTATCAAGCTTGCTAACCCTCAAAATGTTGGTAAACAAATATTTTTACTTCCTGAAAATGCACGGTGGTAAAAAATAACCTAATAAAGTACTGTTAGGAGCTGAAGAGAAAACGTCAAATGAAAAGGAGTCTCACTAATACCATATGAAGGCAGGCAACTAAATACAGTACACCCTCATTATAAGGCCTTTCATAATAATGAACATTCAGCTATAATGAGCCAGATTCATGGATCCCACCTCAAGCCCCATTGCTGCATCAGGGGCTGACAGCTCCTCCAGCCCTGCAGGCTTGAGCCCCATGGATGAAGTAAGAGCTGAAACTTCCTCCTGACATCTCTAGCCTGACTGCTGCAGTGACTACTGTACTGTACAGAGAAATTTTATAAGTTCTTGTACACAAATGGTAGAAGTCTAAATACCAAAATGGGCAAATGTAGGTACCTGGTGTGAAATGAGGATATTTACATAATAGGCACCACAGACAGATGGTGGGATGATGATCAATGGGACATGGTAATACCAAAGTACCAAAAATATAGGAATGACAAGAGTAGATAATGCTGGTGGGGAAGTGTCACTATATATAAAAGAAAGCACAGAATCAAAATATTTAATTAACCAAATTATACCACAGTTAGAATTCCACACTTGAATAATCAGAGTAAAGCAGTAGGATATACTACCAACTACCTGACCAGGATGGTGATTGTGATTATGAAATGCTCAGGTAAATTAGAGAAGTTGTAAAAATAGAAAAAAAATCATTCATAAGGAGGGGATTTCAACTATTTCAATACAGACTGAGAACATGTCATGGTCATGTCAGAAAAGGATGTAGAAATGAAATTTCTAGACACGATTAATGACTGCTCCGTAAAACATCTTATTCTGGGACCCACAAGAGGAGAGACAAATCTTGAGTTAATCCTAATTAGAACATAGAGTCTGGTCTAAAGCGGAAAGGGGAGGACAAAACTATTTAAAATTAGTATCTTTACTGAACATAATTTTAATCAAAACTGTGTTTATAGAGTGCAGGATGCTTGACTTGGAGGAGTCACTATGTAATGCCACTATGCAAAAGCAGATTAGGACTTAAATTTCTCAGTCCAATGGAACTCAGGCACATGACAAAGTGATGCTGCTTGGATTTCAGAGAAGATAGCAGCAGTTTTTCAAAACACTATCAACTAAGTAAAGAGAACATGTTGAAATAAATAGTGCAGCGATAGTGATTTTCTGCTAGAGGGAGAATTATTCAGGCGAAATAGCGATTCCAGTAAAAAGGGAGTAAAGAAACCTGAGGATACCATTTGGAGATGTGTTCAAGTTAAAATCAAGTAGGCAGGGAAAACCCAAACTTATATGATTAGAATGACTTTCCCCTCTTTTCAGTCACAGCAAACAATACCAAATATGTACTATTGTCCCTAAAGTCTGTCACACTAATATACTTGGGATTTGCATATTTTATAGCATATAATAATTTTCATTTTAAAATTAGCTAAAAAGAGAGGGCTCCATGAGGTGTAATTTGTGTGAACAAGCACTGAAAACCCATTGAAGTGTTTGCATGCCCATCAGTGCAAATCTCCATAACTATGAGTTCATCACAACTAACCACATTATATGTCATTGCTGTTACTGCACTAGCTGGAAAAGTGGTCACTCTCAGCACAAGCTGAAGTGCTGTATCAGAATTTACTCTACTTAATTTGTGAATAAGTACTGTTAAAATGCTATATAAGACTTACATCAAGTGTTTGCTTTTTTCTTTCACATATAATTATTTTTCATTTAAAATATCCTTTCTGGTGAAAAATAATCTTTGTAATCTAATCAGAAACCTGCCTCAGAGTCAAAAGAGGCAGCAAAAGATTTTTACCTGATTTTACAAACATTACTTTAACCTAACCAAGATTTTCAAAATTGGCTATATTTTGGATATCCCAAGTCTTAGGTTCCCAACTTGAGATGACTTAAAGGGGCTTGATTTATAGAAAGTGTTTAGCAGTCCTGTGATCAGCAACTCCTCCCCCACACTCCCAGAGCTTCTGGAGCACCACAAATTGGAAATTCAAGCCCTTTCAAGATATCTCAAGCTTGCTACCCCAAAAGTTGGGCATACAAACCCACCAGTCAATTTGGTAAATCTTGGCTAAGATTTTCAAGTAATACACAAAGAGAAAGCAGAAGGAGAAAACTATAGATCACCTTCTCTGTTCATTTATTGCTGTAATGGTTTGACAGATGAAAGACCAATGAATTATTGTACAATCATTTTACATGATTAGCCTGTTCACAGGTCAGCAAGATGCAATGCTTGATCCATAAAGCAAGAGTTGTCTCATAAGCACTTTTCTCTTTTAAGGGACTCATTACATTAAAATACCATTTCTTGACTCAAAACTAACATATCATGCTTCATATTAATAAAATGTTGGCAATTTAAGATAAGGAAAATGTTTAACTCTAGAAAAAATAGTCTCCTTTTTTGAAAACATTTAAAGTTAAAGAAAAAGAGAAATTACTCACTCTGTGAAGTTACCATGGTTCTTCGAGATGTGTCCCCCCCATGGGTGCTCCACTGTTGGTGTTGGACTCGTCCCAGTGCCACAGATCAGAGATTTTTATAGCAGTGTCCAGTAGTGCTGTGCATGAGAGAGCAGCACACAGTGTTCCCACCTTTGAAGTTAGGGTGCGCAGCCCAACTCTTTTTTGTTTCTTTTTTTGACACCCTCCTGGCAAGTTGTTAGTGCCTAAAGAAGCGGGGAGGAGGGCAGGTAGTGGAGCATCCATAGGGACACACATCTCAAAGAACCATCATTACTACATAGAATGAGTAACTTCTCTTTCTTCTTTGAGCGATTTCCCTATGGGTGTTCCACTGTTGGTGACTGTGTAGCAGTGCCCAGTTAGATGGTAGGTGGGCTTTGTCTAGTTATTGCAAGCTGTGGAGAGGACTGCAGTAGCTACTGCAGTGTCCATTATTGAGCATGGTGGAACGTGTGGTCAGATGTGGCTGCTCAACGTATGTCATGGAGCGACACTCCCCTGTTGAAGGCTGTTGACGTTGACATCACTCTGGTTGAATGAGCTTTGGGAGTCATTGGTACTGCTCTGTTCTGGAGTGCATAGCAGGTGGTAATACAGGATGTTATCAGTTTTGATATGCACTGGGAAGAAAGTGGTTTTCCCTTGGACTTTTTGTCTATAGATACAAGCAGTCTCTTTAATAGTTGAAAAGAAAGCATCCTATCTAAGTAGAAGGCAATGTATCTTCTCACATCCAGCATGTGCAATATGGCTTTGTCCCTGGAGCAATGCAGTTTTGGGTAGAAAGTGGGAAAGACTATAGGTTCATTGATATGAAATTCAGAACAAACTTTGGGTAGGAAGGAGGGGCAGGGTCACAGAATAACTTCATGTTTATGAAAGGTCATGTATGGAGGTGAAGACATGAGAGCTGCGAGTTCACTAACTGTCCTTGCAGATGTGATTGCCAACAGGAACACTGTTTTCATGGTGAGAAAGTTAAGTGATGAAGTTGCCATTGGCTCGAAG